AATCAGTCGCAACATTCGTTTCTGTTGCGTCAGACTTCTTTTCAATTCCAGCGTCAATTGATGTTGGATCTGCATCTATTTGTGATCTGTCTATAGTTTTAGTTTTGCTCCGAGTCATGTATCTGGGTTCCCCATCGGAGCTCTCTGTCGTTAAGTAAGCTACCGTTTTCAACGTTCTGCTCTCGCTCAATCGTTGACCTTTACTACTCGTTTCATCTAGTTCTAACTCAACTATCCAATAGGGTTGTTGATAAATTCCCTTAATAAATGACTCGTGTGAGATGGGATCAAAAATATCGATTTCCCGATTGTCTAAATAAATACTTAGTCCCATATCTGCAAACTTTCTTAATGACAAGAGGTTTTCTGACAACGCTTCGGCGCATATAACGTTTTCCAAGTTCATCACCCGATCGTTACTCAATTTAACGTTTACCGTTCCAGCTCCCTCCGAACTTAAATCGGCATGAGCTTCCTTATTCGCACATCTTATCGAACTTCTTTTAGTTTCATCAAACGTTTTGAAAATGAGCTTAGAATTCGTTAAATGCTCAGTAGCACCCGAATCAGCCAAAAACCTCGTAAAGGTATTTTCAACATCGTTCGCATTAGTTAATGAATTTCCTTCACTCGTTATACTACAATTAATCATATTTACTTCTGAACCATTACCTTTATTGAGTTTGTTTCCACTTTGATTCTCCTTTGAATCATCTCGGTTCCTCTTGTCCTTATATTTCTGCTGACCGCCTTGGCCTTTTTCAGATATTTTAGCTCGTTTTGCGTGATTCTCGCGACTCGCACCGCTGAACTTGCGTTTACCACGGAAGCTACCTCTATTACCAGTACGATGAGAGTTGTTCCTGGGATGTTGTCTCGAAGATGATGAAAACTTCGACGTCGGCCCCTGTTCATTCTGTTTTGCCAGCCTTACGGAACATTCTCTAGCAATATGCCCAATATTACCGCACTCGTAACACTTCGGTTGATTATCGTTAGGGCATTCATCTTTGTGATGACCCTGAGCTCCACAACCATAACATCGATTTTTAGGATCATGTCTTTTGACATTCAGTGCTGTGGGCTTCGTATCACTCGTTTGAGCCCTGTTGGCTTCGTGTTGTATGATAAACGCCTTCAGCTGATCATACGTCAATCCTTTGCCAGTTGAGTTCGTCGTCATGAATTCAACAGATTGAACTTGCGGTATAGCGGGAGTTATGGCATTAAAAAACGCATCTCTCTTCTCATCATGCGAGAGAGGGTTCACATTTGGTAGACTATCGTAATTTCGTACCAATTCTTCGAAACGGTCCCAAAACTCCGCTGCCTTTTCTTTGCTCGGAACATATTCCATATTATAGAGCCGTTTACGAATCGTCATGGAAGTCAAGTTCGACTCGCATCGTTTTATTTCTCTAATTTTGTTCAAAATTTCGACCGGATCCTTGATTTTGTCAATTTTCGAATAATAATTTTGATCAAGTCTATTGATCAAAATATCTCTCACCTTAAAAACGTGCTTTTCTCTTGTCGCGTCGTCAACTGTAAAATTAGGTTTCACATCCGAGTTAATGATGTACAGCAAATCTAAGATTCGCAACTCGGATGTTAGAAAGTCCATAAAGTGTTCGAATTTCGTTTGACTCGTCAACTTATATTCTCGTTTATTCGAATCTTTACCCACAAGCTCTACTCGTATCTTCTCGCTTAATTCTTTTACCACATCAGATCCCGAAGTCTTTGGTGTATTCTCGTTACTATTTGGGTTGATTCCCACTCGTTTAATTTCATTTTGGATCAACTCAATTAGCTCATGACGACCTACTCCAACTGCAGTATCGCTCGTTCCTGCATCAGCTGAATTAGCCGTTGAAGTTGTGGCATTCGTTTCATTTCCACACTTGGTGCTTCGAGGATCATGATCACTTGATGTGTGAGAAGAATGCTCGTTGAGCTTATCAACTATGGTGGTTATTCCTTTTATGAAAATGACTTTCATGTCATTTTGTGCAGTTGTCATTCCTTCCAATGCTTTGGTAACATTATTCAAAGCATCGATCGTTTTTTCTCGAAAGTTCGTTTCGTTTGTCGCGTACGACTTAATGCTGTCGGTATCAGCGTGGCTAAGTTCAGCGTCGTCGTTCTTTCCATTGGCATCGTTCGGATTGTTAATAGAGGCAGGCATACTTAGTGTTGAGCCCTCTCGTTTTCTATCGTTGATAGCCTCCAGTACAGCTCTTCGTTCTCTTTCTCCAAGAGTATTCAATCCTGTAGATTCAACACTCGTTTTAACAATCCTTGTTATAAGGAGAACACTTGCTTACTATTCCCTTAACCGGACACAGGCTAATTAAACAGAAGC